GGGGAGCAAAGGGGAGCAGCCCCCCCACCCAAAATGCTGCAGGATGGGTCTGGGGAAGGGGGAGCTCAGGGGTTCTTGTGACCCCCAAAGCAACAGCCCCGTCTGTACAGCCAGAGCGGAGCTGCCTGTGGCTTCCCCGGGGAAAAACTGCCTCAAATCTGCCAATGTTTGGAATAAACATTTAAAATATGGGAGTTTTCCCTCCCAGGCCGGGTTTTTACCCCAAATCTCCACGTTCTGGGACTCAGATCATAGAATCGTTGAATGGTTTGGGTTGGAAGGGACCTTAAAGCTCATCCAGTTCCAACCCCCCTGCCAGCAGCAGGGACACCTTCCACTAGACCAGGTTGCTCAAAGCCTCATCCAACCTGGCCGAGAACACTTCCAGGGAGGAGCAGCCACAGCTTCTCTGGGCAACCTGTTCCAGTGTCTGACCACCCTCACAGTGAAGAACTTCTTCCCAAGATCTGACCTTCTCCCTTGGGCAAAGAGCCCAGCTGGAGGGAAAGCCAGCATCTCCCACGGGATCCAGCCCTGCTCACCAGGACCGTCTCTTACCAGGCCAGACGGGACATGGCGTAGGTGATCCGTGGACGAGGACGCCCTCCGAGCAGGGAGGAGGTGGCCATGGTGTAGGCACCCATGTCCTCAAAAATCAGCCAGTCCCCCACCTGCAGCTCAGGCAGCTCCAGGCCCTCAGCAATGTGGTCCTCGGTGTGTTCTGGGGGGCCCCGGAGGCTGCTGCTGTGCGAGGGGCGCTCCGGGCAGGGTCTCTGCAGGGGACAAGGATGTGGCAGTGTCACAGTGACCGGCCTCATCTCCACCCACCCGAAAAGTCCAACCCCAGGATCCCACAGACTCTGTCTACAGTACCCCCGGTACATCCCATAGCCCCTTCCCCATGGACTCTGCTCTCCTTTGGCGTGGAGCTTGGGGACAGCCATGGCACAAGGGAGAGCAGGGTCAGGGACACAACACAAGGGACCCTCTGGGTTCTCCTCAAACCAGGCCAGATCCTCACCTTGTGCAGTTGAGGTTTGGGGCAGGGGCTGTCAAACAGGAGGCAGCTGAAGGTGCTGTAGATGCCATCGCTGAGGTGATACACGAGGCTCTTCTTGCCATCAGACTCTTCTTCTTGTTGGGGGAGCAGGGAGAGAGCTCAGCGGGGCTTGGGCACATGGGTGGGCTCCTCCTGCCATCCCACCATCCCACCTACCCTCAGAGCCAGGCTGCTCCAAGGGAAGCTCTTCCCTGGCAGTGATGCTGGAAGCAAAGGTGAAGGCAGAGGTGACATAGTATCGTCCTGGTGTCGCCATGATCTCCACCCCGCAGCCGTCTGGGAAATACAGGTCCAAGGCAGAGTTGATCACAGCAGCGACCTGGATGGGAAGAAGATGTTCCCTCTTGGTTAGCTCCATCCCTCTGCAGGGAGCCAGACCCAGGGGAGACCCTCCAGCCTCGCTCTCTGCCTGCTGAGCACAGGTTTTGGGATCCGTGTACCTCTTCAAACCGGGCTCTGGTGTCCTCAGTGCCGGGGAATCCTCCTCCGATGTCCAGGAGGTACATTTGGTAGCCCAGCTCTGTGCCCATCTCAAAGGCCAGCTGTGCTGCAGCCACAGCCTGAGCGAAAGCCTGAGGCTCTGGGCCGTGGCTCCCAAGGTGAAAGCTGAGGGCACAGTCCCTGTTTCAGCAGAGCTCAGCTGTCCCCAGAGAGCAGCGAGGGGACACGGCACTGGGACACTGGGATTATCACTCCCTGGAGGCAGCTCTGTGCTCCCCACACACCATCCCAAGCCAGACTGCCTGGCCAACCCCATAGAGCCCCCCAGACCCTCTCTGAGGGTCAAACCAGCTCCAAATTGGTCCCAACAAGGGTCAACCTCCCCAGGTCCATCCTCCACCTCACTCCCAGCCAGAGCAGCCAGTGGCTCTGTGGACCCCTGCACTGTTCCAGCCAGGCAGAGCTCCCTATGGTCCCCCCCAACATGGGCTGAGCACCCCTCTGGAAGAAGGACCATGTGCTGTACCTGACACCAACAACCTCCACATCCTGCTCCTTCGCTGTCTCTAGTAGGCGCCGGCAGGACTTGAGCGTGGTCCCAAACGTCATGCTCAGATGGGCAGAAGGGCTGGAGTCAGCAGCAATACCCAACAACATCCTGCAGAGCAAAGCCACACTGTGTCAAGGGGTCTTCAGGCCCTCTGTCACCTCGCAGTCACCTCCCCAGCTCCTTCTCCAGCCCCTCACTGACACCCACCTGGCATGAGGGTGGCTCCTGGCCACCTTGCTCAGCTCCACCTCATTGTCGAAGGTCATCAGCCGCACGCCGTGGCTGGGTGCGTATTTGATGTGGGCAACCTGCTTGCAGGGGCTGCTGTAGAAGATCTTGTCAGCTGGGACACCGATGCTCTGAACCCGGGAGATCTCTGCCTGCAGGGAAACAACACATGTGTGTCTGCAGGTCCCTGGGACTGGCACTGCCCACACCTGGCCACCATCAGCCCTGGGCCACGGCCAGATGCAGCACTGCGAAGGGCAAAGCGCCAGTGTTGCAGCCTGGGCTTTTCCAGGGAAAACCAGCAAGAGCTCAAAGGGATCACAGTGGACTTTGTCCTGGCAGGGGTAGGTTGAGCTCCAGTTTTGTTTACAAGCTCCAGTTCTGGAGCCCCCATCACAAGAGAGACCTGGAGCAGTTAGAACAAGTCCAGAGGAGGCCACCAGGATGATGTGAGGGCTGGAGCAGCTCTGCTGTGAGGAC